TGTGCCGATAGCGTTATCCTCTTTCCATTATGGCGTTATTTCGTTCGGCTATGGCGGGAATCTCGTTGCAGAAATGGCCATATCCCTCTCCGCTAAGGCGGTTTTCTTTTCGGAGATGGCTAGGTTTCTTTCTTGGATTGCGGCGTCTCTTTCTGCCATGAAGCCCATTATCTGTTTCATCGACGGCTGTTGCTGCATCAACCCACTGACAAAACAAGAAACGGAAATCTTGATGTGAAAAAAATCCTCGTGTAATAAGTTTAATCATTACTTGAGATTTTCAAGGATAAATAAGTTTATAAGTAGTTTACCTGACCCTGCGGTGGTTTATGCCTCCCATTTTCTCGATGCCCACTATCGTCCATCTAGGATCGAGAATGAAAAACAACCAACTTGTTTGAATGTTGACTTTTATACTGGAAGATTCTAGAACATGCGACAGATATTCTGAAAGACCGGAATTACATCTAAGGTCGGTTTTTGTGCATATATTCAGCAGTAGCTATTCAGAACAAGGAGAATGTGCAAGCAAAATCATACGAGGGTAGCAGAAGAAGAACCTTCCCCTGCAAAGGAAACGACTAATTCATGAGAAATAAATTTACTACAATGCCACCAATTCGACAATCTAGAGAAGACTGTAACAATTATTCGAGAACGAGACATACATTGAACAATTACTATCACCATATGCTATATTGAGTACGTAATCTAAACAATAAAAGTCTAGACTATGATGTCACAACACAAGCCAAATTAACTAATTTGAAGGCCATTAACATTAAAAAATGTTTGTTGAAGCTAGTGCAATAAAACTTACATACGGAAAACGAAATTTATACTAAATTCAAGTTCTCAACTCATTCTCGGGAAACTCTCTGCATGTTTGCCAAATAAAAGTTCACCAAATATTTTGGAGGTCAAGATGAAACATAATTATACGTATCCGAAATCGTACAACTAAAAACGAAATGAATTAGATGTGTAGGATCACATTTACGAAGCTAAACCGTACGAGCAAACAAATCTACTGCTTATGTACAGTACATTCTAAATATAAAATAAAGCCTACTTCGAGTGCTTCGTAATCTGAACAATTCACTAACACAGAAGGATAATATCAACTGAGGAAACAATCAAGGCAGCTGCATCCACCCCTAGTACTACTTGTCTTTATTCAGACATCAACTCAGTCAAACAAACTCAACCTCAATTTCAGCTAAAATCAAAATTCAGAAGAACTAACCGGATAAAAAACACCAAATGAACTGTAAAATAAAAATAAAAAATTGCATGTTTAAATTAACCAACCCAGTGGACAATTGTGCGAACCCAACCACCAAAATTGCAAATCGATCAAAGGAAGACCGCACACCAAAAATTCAGTATACAAAAACTCAAAGTAAGTAAGAAATTCGACAAAACCAGCTCCAATTTCTAGAATGAACAAATGATCACAAAATTATTGCTAACATAGTTGAAGAAATAAGTGAAGAGCTTACTAGATGAGAATTGGGGGAGAAATTTTGAAGTTCCGGAGAGTCAAAACCCTAACAAGGGGGAAGTAAGAAATGAAACGAAAAATGGAGAAAATATATGTGTGATGCAAGAATATCTGCTCAAACTCATTGAACTAATATGTACGATTGATTACCCACAAAGCACACCTTTTCTTCTCTCTCTCTCTCTTCTCTCTCTCTCTTCTTGGGGATTAATTTTTTTACCTCAGTACCCAATTCATCGCCATTTTATTACACCATCTTTTCGCTTGTCTTTTTCTGTTTTCTTTTTTCCTTGTCATCCTTTTTTTATTTACAATGAATTTCTGGAGCTGTAAAAGAAGGGTGACTATCAGTGTGTTTATTAATGGGATAGTGGGAAAACGGGGGAATTTAAGTTTGTAGTGTCGGTGACGGAATGAATGTGAAGGTCATGTCCTGAGCCGTACGATGTGGAAGATCCTAGGGATGTGTGACGGCAAGTTGAGTGACGTTAGTGTTTTCTTCTTTTAAATAGAGTTGCTTACTGCCACGTCATTATTTCTTTTTTAATTCTTCTTTTCTTTTTTTTTTTTTTTTTTTTTTTTTTTTTTACCTTTTTCTAGCGGTGACTTCTGTTTGGCTATCCTTTCCCTATTTTTACTACACAATAATTACACCCCTCAAGTTTACACCAATTCTACATTTGGTCCGCATATTCACAAAAAATACATTTAGTCCCTTATGTTATAGTAATTTAACACTTTTGGTCAATTTACCGTTAATTCTTCAGTTAAGGCAGTGATCGGCACAAGCTTCATTCCGTTAATACTAACAGAAAATTAGCCGGAACATGACTAAAAGTGTTGATTTTTTTAAATATCAGGACATTGGGGATCAAATGTGAAATCAATGCAAACTTGAGGAATGAAAACTGTATATTTTACATTATTTATTATTTTTAACAATTTGGATGAATGGTTGGATGATTATATACTCAAGAACGATAATAATTAGTCATACAATTGAATCGTCATATGAAATAAATGTGAATAATCTCTTGAGCTGCACTAAATTAAATAATATGATCATAGATATTTTAAATAATAAGAAGGCCGGCCCAATAAGGTTTTTAAATATTTTTCCACCTTTCTTTTGGTGGTTTGGATCAATTGACATCATAAAAGCCCAGCAATACTTTCTTTGGACAGTATTTATTATAATTTATCTTATTTTTTTATAAATTATGGGAAAAGTAATAATTTATTAATTTTATAATTTAAAAATAATATTTACAACCAATAAAAATATAACTTATAAATTATGTGAAATATTAATTTATATTAATATACAAATAATCATTTAGATTTCTTTTGTTCATATAACTTTAACTTAGGAACATATCTAATAATTATAATATAGCATCTATACATTAGAACCTCGATAAATTAATACTCAATAATTTAATAACATCGATTAAATAATAGTTTCTCTCGGTCGCGACTCGGTGAAAACGTGTTAAATTATTAACTCGATAATTTAATAATTCGCTAAATTAATATAATTTTCCTAGTCTTGATTGTATTAATTTATAGAGGTTTAACTATATATATATATATATATATATATATATATATATATATATATATATATATATATATATATATATATATATATATATAGATATAT